CTGCTGGAAGGACATGATTTAATTTAGATTTCTTTTTTTTTCTTAAAAAAAAAACCCACAATGAAAACATTGTGTGGAATGATCAGATTCAATATGCCAGCTGAAGGCGGTTTTTTTTTTTTTTTTTTGGTATGTGGATCTAAGTGTGTGTGAATATATATTGGTGAAGAGGTGCATGTGTATGTGTGTGCAGGTGCACATACATTTGCAATGCCCAGAGCAGGACATCCGTGTCTTCCTCTCTCACTCTCCACCTTACTCCTTTGGACAGGGTTTCCCACTGAACCTGGAGCTAGGGTGGCAACTAGTAAGTGCTAGTGACTTTCGTCCCTGTCCCCTACAGCACTGGATTACAAGTGTCCGTGCCCAGCTCTTTACATAGCACCAGGAATTGGAACCCCGGTCGGTCCTCATGCTTGCTTACCTATGAGTCGTCTCCCCAGCCCAAAGGCAGCTCCTTTTTTCTTCATTTCTCTTTGTGTTCCTTGGCTGCTGCTGCTGCGGCCTCCGTGGGGTTGGGGGTGGCAATGTCTCAAAACTTCCTCATTTGTTGGCCAAGCATTTATTTCTGGAAGCTTCCATCGGGAGCATGAGGGGATGGCCCACACTGAGCTGAAATGTCCAAGACTTCAGGTGAACCAGTGCCGATCTTCATCCCTTCACTTACCTGTATGAAAAGTTGCTCTCCAAAGACTGCATGGCGGCTGCGGGTGTGAAGCTCTGTGTGGAAGCCTGAGTTTGGACCAATATGTGCTGTCCTGTTACAGCAGGGCTCCCGTGACCCCTGGGCCAGTGAACTATGTGTGGTGACACAGAGGGCCATAGACACGAGCCAGTGTCTGTCCACGGAAGCTCTGTCTGTCCTGCTCACAGCCACCTACCCCTAGCCTTTATGTTGCTTTTCAAAGGCACTTTTCTGGGCAGGGGATGTAGCTGAGCACTCGAGTGCTTGCCAGGCGTGTGTGTGAGACCCTGGCTTCCATCTCTGGCACTGACACAAAAAGAAGACAGATGCCTGTACATTTAGAAAGGTGAACTCTGCATCTGCTGGGCCCGGGGATGTAGACAGCTCTGTAGGCAGGCCACTGCTAGCTCTCCAGCTGCCACCCCACCCCCACCCCCAGGAGTTGCCAAAAGGGAGCAACCAGTCCCTTAACTGCAGCTAGTGAGTTCCTTGTTTGATTATGGACTTTGAAGGTTTCAATTATCAGTGTGTATTACCTATTGGTGAAATTATTAAGGCCACTCCACATGGTTAAAAGGGAGGTTTATTAGTGGCGTAACTTACAAGTGAAGGGATAGGTAGGTCGCAGGGTCTGGGAAAGGTGTGTCAAAGTCCGGCAGTGTTCTCTGGAGAACTCTGCTCGGTCTACCTCCACCGTCCAGGGTCCAGGAGAGGACCAAGAGAGGCGGCGCATCGGGATCTCGGGTCTTCAGGGTCCTCCCTTGGCCCCGCCTTGTAGGCATGACAGTTACCGAAGCCTCAATGGGGCTTGGAACTTCCAGATCAAAGCTGGAATGGCTACCCACTACAATTACCAGTCAACAGCAGCTGTCACATGCTGGCTAAATACGCAGACTCTGCCTAAGCATGTCCTCAAGCATGCACTGTGTGCACACACATGTGGAAGCCTAGGACAATCTCAGTCATTGTTCTCGGTTGCTGCCCATTTTATTTGACACAGGATGTCTCACTGACCTCGAACTTGCCAGGGAGGCTAGGTGGCTGGCTAGTAGCCCCAGGGATCTGCCTGTCTCTGCCTCCCCAGCTCTGGGATTACAAGTGTGCACCGTCACTCCCAACCTTTTCTTTTCTAATGTGTGTGAGTGTTTTACACTGCCTGCATGTATGTCTGTGCACTGTGTGCATGCCCAGTGCCTGCAGAGACCAGAAGAGGGGGTTTGATCCCCTGAAAGTGGAGTTACAGATGGTTGTGAGCAGCCATGTGGGTGCTGGGAACCAAACCCAGATCCTCTGCAAGAAAAGCCACTGCTCTTAACCACTGAGCCTCCTTGCAAGCATCCCCCAACCCCTGTTTAAAAAACAAAACAAAGCAAAAACCATGCACTCTGGGCAAACACATGCACTCTGGGCGGTGGAACTCAGGCTTCGCACTTGCCCTGCAGTCACTTCACAGACTGAGCCGTCTGCATTTTCCCTTTGGTCCTTAGAGCATCCGCACATAGTCATTGGTCTGACCTCCAGACAGGCAGGTGGAGACTGCACGTGGAAACTCACCCAAGTCCCCAGAGGTGGCAGGATTCTGATTCCCAGAGGTCACCAGCCTCCAAAGTGCCTGGCCATTCGGTCACAGTTTAGAGTCGCAGCCATATGCTTATGCTTGCCTGTACAGAGGTGGGGAACTCAGGAAAGGGTGGCCATCTGCTTCTACACAGCTTAAGAGACCAGAGTCAGGCTGGCTCCAGTGCCTGCCTGTTGTCCACCGCTGGCTCCTCCCTGAGCCTGGTTTGCCAGAGTGATGTGGATTCTGTTTGCCTAGTCCCTAGTGGAGAGCACCACAAGTGTGGGACAGCGAAGATAAAATTAAAGTTAAAATCTCAGGAGAGGCCTGAAGAGATAGTTCAGTGGTTAATACACTTCCTTCTCTCTCAGCGGACCTGAGTTCAGGTCTCAGTACCTGTATCAGATGGCCTGTGTGTGGCTGTAGCTCTAGGAGATCTGATGTCCACTTCTGGCCTCTATGGGTAGCGTACCCGTGCAGCATACATTCACACACACACACACACACACACACACACACACACACCCTAAATTAGTAATTTTTGTTTTAATTCAGGGGAAACATTTCCTCTTGTTGAGAATTCTTCACATTAAAGCCAGTTGGGCAGCTCATGCTATTATTTTAAGATTATAAATCTTAAAATAATAAATTCTATAAATTATAAGATTGTCAGCGCTCAGAAGGCTGACAATCTTCAGAGGGAGGATTGTCATACATTCAGGGCCAGCTTGAACTGCAGCGTGAGACTCTTGTCTCCCACTTCCCCAGAAACTGATAGCATTAAATCCAAATGTCTACCACCAGTTTAACAGACAAACAAAATGTGGTATATCCATACAATGGAATAGCATTCAGCCTTAAAATTACAACCCATTCTACACTTTGATGAACCCCACGACATATGCGGAGTGAATCAAGCCAGGTACAAAAGGGCCAGTGCTATCCTGATAAAAGTGTTACCGTGTTCCCAAAGACTGACTGCAGAACCACTGTTGTTGGGGACAGGGACCAGTGGACTGTTAGTGTTCACTGGGGACAGTTCCCTTTAACATGTTGGAAAGTTCCATAGGTAGAGGTGGTGACAGCCTCATAGTGTGAACGTGATGCCTCTCGACTGTCTACTTACAATGGTGAGAACAGTAGATGTTTGTGAGCATGCTCACGTATGTGAGGTGTGTGTGTTGTATGGGTGCATGTTCACATATGAACATACATGTGGAGGCCAGAGGTTAGTCTCTGTTCATTCCTCAGGTGCCATCCCTCTTGTTTTTTGAGACACGGTCTCTCACTAGGACCCGGGACCCAACAGGAGGGCTGGGCTGTCTGGCCCGAAAGCCTCAGGGATCCTCCTGTCTCCTTCTCCTCAGAGCTGGGTTTACGAGTGTGCACCACCTCGCCTGGCTTTTCATGTGGGTTCTGGCTTTGAATTTGGGTCCACTAAGGTATCACCCCACTCTCCACTCTTAAAGTTAATTATCAACCCATGCACGCTGGCGGGAGCCTCCAGAACTGAAAACACCAACACGTGTGTGTCAGTTCGGAGCTGAGTCAGCCCCTGTCTGCACTTGGCCTGCGCTCAACAAATCATCGTGATAATTGCAGGATGCTCTTTGCTTATTGAAAGAAAATGCCTGGGTGCCCCAGAGGCACGCATAATTATAGGCTTTAGGAAAACAGGGCCTTTTAACAAGTAGGCTGGGAAAGGCTAAGGACTGGAGCATTCCTCATTCCTCTGTGACGATTCCCTCAGTCAGAAGGCCACTGGCTCAGGCAAGCGGGGCTGAGTGACTGCGCATCGCCCACATCATCAGGGCTGCTGACAGTGTGGTAGGCCTCGACAGATGCACCGGAATAAGACTATTCTTCGTAAACTGATTCTGTTACTAGTATAAACACTAGAAAATTCTCCCCTATGATATCGTGATAAAAGAGTTAAATTTACCATTGTTTGGGGCACAGTGATAGCAAAGAACTTCCTGTGCAAGCATGATAACGTGTTCCCCACATGCGTGTCAGAAGCCTGGAATGGTGACATGTGCTTACTAGCCCAGCACCGGGGAGGCAGGGGCAGGTGGATCACTGGGACTCACTAGCCAGCCAGCCGAGCTGAATCAGTGAGCCCAAGTCCTGGTGAGAGACCTTGTCTTATAAAACAGTGTGGATAGCACCAAAGACAACACTTAAGTCATCCTCTGGTCTCCACATGCATGTAAACACGTGTGTGTGTGTACACACACACACACACACACACACACACACACACACACACACACCCCAAGAGCAGAGAGTTAGCTATCTAAGCAGAGGCCCCCAAGCCAGGCCTGGCCTCACTTCACAGATGGTTCTAGGTAAATACACGCAGCCCGTGCACACGGTGGATCTGAGGCCGGTACCTGACTGAAGCCACACGCAGCCGAGCCGGGGTGGGCAGAAGCTGGCGGGAGTCGGAGCCTGTCAACGCTGTCAGCCCTGATTTGCGGCCAAGCTGGGTTCCCCAAGTTCAAAGAGCGCTGAGCTGCTTGTCTTTGTCAAGAGCACGGCTGGGGATCTTTTATGTGGAAGATGTAGGATTCTCAGGCTGGCTTTGATTATTTATTCATCCCCCTTCGTGGGCGCGTGATAGTGCAGCCATCGCGGAGTCCCTTGTCCTGACCACTCTCGCTCAGGAATTCATGGAGCTTAAAGCCTTTTGAAAATTGTTTTTCCAGGGAGGGGGAAAGTTTTTGAAGTCTTCTCTCTCTCCCTCCCTCTCCACAGTTCCTCAGCAGCTCCTGCCGCCTTTCCACGCGCCTTTGCCGATTGACATGCGGCACCAGGAGGGACGGTACCATTACGATCCGCACTCAGTCCATGGTGTACACGGGTAAGTGTTGGCTTCCATCTGCTGCTCCTGGGGTGCAGCCACCTGCCTCTGTCCTTTAGGTCACCAAAGTGCCATGACTGTGCACCCGTGAGCAGGTGATGCACGCATACTAGCCACCTCCTGGTTTCTTCTGAGTAGCAAGCTTGCATCACGTGTTATCACCATGGCCTGTGGCTCTAGGCTTTCTGGTTGGTCCCTACATGATGGGAGGCTCGTCACCCATACAGTACCCCGAACCCAAGTCAGGAATGTAACCTTACATGTAGACTGCCCTGGCGTTGTGGGTTGGAGTCCCCCTTACTAACTCAGGTGTCCTGAGGCATTGTGGGTCCCCTACTCTTTAAAACAAGCTCAGAGTGATGCCTCGGGGTCTCTTCCTGCCTCTCACCTTGAGGTCCCCCAGGAGAAAGGCAACACCTTGATGTGACTGGGCATTTCCACCCAGGACCCCCGGCCCCTGGCTGGCGTTCATTCTCTTCGTGTTTGGTCCTTTCTCAGCCCCTCCACCTCCTACACCACCGTTCTCCTCCCAGGGGAGAGACCCAGTTCCTTCTCGCACTCAGTGACAAAGCACCTGAGCAACATGAAGAGAGAAAGTGTATTTTTTGGTTCATTTTGTATCTTCATTTTGAAGATACATCCACCATGGTGGAGAAGTCAAGGCAGCTGCTCACATGACATCCTCGGTCAGGAAGCAGGGAGACGTGAATTCCAGGGCTCAGTGGGCTTTCTCCTTTTTTTCAGTGTGGGACCCCAGCCCATGTAATAGTGCCACCCACAGTTAGGGTGGGTCTTCCCCCAAATAACCTAATCTAGGAAGTCCTTACAGGTATGTGTGCATGTCTCCTATGTGGTTCTCGATACCAAGCTGATCACCAATATTAACCATCATGGAGGTCTAGTCTAGGCCTTCGCCATTTCCCTGCACGCAGCCTCTCCCCAGCCCTCCGTGCTTGGAAAGTGAGTCCCTATGCCTGTCCTCATTCCCTCCCACTCTCCTCTGGCCACTTGTCCACAACAAGTCGCTGTCTGGGGTGCTGGTTCACAATCCCTGTCACCTGTCTTTACGACAGGCTCCTGTTGCCTGCCCACCCTCTAGAACCTCCTCAGCTTCAGAGCCACCTCCTGAGGGGAACCCGATGCCCCACTCTGAATGGGACCCTGCTCTGGATTCCAGCACCATGCCAGAGCAGACTAAGCTGTGCTCATACATGCTCCACATAGCCTCTGAGCCTCCCTCGGGGCTGTGCCTACAAGGACAGATGCGTGGTAGGTACACAGAGTGTTGAGTAGGGAGTCCCCGCTGGCACCCCACCTGTCAGACGCCATCTCCCACTAGAATAAAATCGGTCAGCATGGCTGTGTGCTCAGATGGTCAGAGCGTTGTGGCTTTGCTGCATCCCAGCCAGCCACATCCCCTCCAGTGATACCTGTGTCAGGATACCTACCGCCTACTAGACAGCCAACCTGACTTTGGTTTCCTTTTCGAACAAATTTTACGCTTAATGTCGGGTTGTGACGAGATGGCTCAGTGAGTGAAAGGAATGCAGTGCAAGCCTGGTGACCTGGGTTCAACCCCAGAACCCACGTAAAGGCAGAAGAAGAGAACCAGCTTCCCAAGGTTGTTCTCCAACCTCCACGTGTGTACCGTGGCACGCACACACCCATAGACATAGATAACGCACCATTCCCAATAACCAGTAAATAAGCAATTAAAATTAAGTTTTCATTTCGGAGTAAATTCAGGCTTGCAAAAGTTGTGAAAATTAGACAAGATAAACCACAGGCCCTCCACTCAGCTCTTCAGACATTAACATCCTGTGTCATCCAATACCAATACGGTGAACTAACACACACATCGGATACAAATATGAATAGTTTTCCCTTAAGTCTGTGTTTTCTTGTTCATGATCCAGTACAGAATTTCACACTGAGTATACGACTTTGTGTGTGTACGCGTGCACATGCACACATGGGCACACACACACACACACACACACACACACACACACGCACGCACGCACGCACACAAGCGGAGGCCAGAGGAGGACATCAGATGCTCTTCCTGTCACTGTCCTTACTCCCTAGAGACAGGGTTTCTCCCTGAACCTAAAGCTAGGTTGACAGCCAGCAATCCTCAGTATTCTCTTGTCTCTGCCCCCCGCCCCAGCACTGACTTACAAATTTTTTCTAAGTGGGTGCTGGGGATTAGAACATGGTCCACATCTTGCACAGAAAATGCTCCTATCCACTGAGCTATCTCCCTAGCCCCTTAGCCATGGAAATTTTCTTGTTGCTCACTGGCTTCCATGACCTTTGCAGCAGACTGGATACCTGAGGGGTGTGTGCTCCTTTCCTGTGGCTATAACAAATGACCAACTCAGTGGCTTGACACAACACAAATGTATTCTCACACAGTTCTGGAGAGAACACGTGCCTTTGTCTTTCACCCTTTCTTGAAGCCTGCATCTTTTAGCCTGAGATCCCAACCTCACACCATACCACCTTTCCCCTGCACCCGCCCTCACATGGCTCTTCTCTCCTGCTACAGTTTTCTTTCTGGATTTCTGTTTCATCAGAGACACTTGCTCTTGCTTTTAGAGATGATCCAGCTGGGTCCAGGATCATCTCTGCATCCTGACATCCTTCCCCAAGTCACAACTGCGATGCAGATGACATTGACGGCCTCCATCGATTAATATGCATGCCTTCTTGGGGGCTAGTGTTTCATCATTTGATATCACCAAGCCCAGGTGCAGAGGCTGGGAGGTAGCCCATGCACTTCTGTGGGGTTTAGGGGACTGGACTCTGGGACATAGCCCAGGAGGATCTCGCCTATCAACCCCACTGCCAGGAGGCAGTATAGAGTTCTTGGACGTGTGACCTGCAAGGGCAGGCCTCAGATGCTCCTTGATAACCTCAGGATAGCTGGTTTCTACCAAGAAGGCCTAAAAGGGGCTGGCCTCAGGCTCAGGAAGGCACACCTCCTTATTCTCCTACTCCCTATATCCCAGGTGAGAACTAGACAAAGCCTGTAAGAAAAATGGTCCCATAGTTCTGGCTTCTGTGATTAATGTGGTCCGAGCCTGGTGGAGTCCCCAATCCATCAAGCTTATGCTGGAGCCTGCTTGCTACCACCAATATGTCTAATTACACAAGCCACACACGGCAAATGAGCTACCGTGTCATCTCCTCTCGGTAGAGGCTCAGCCCCGGCCTGCCTCTTGAAGTCCCAAGGCCTTAGCTTGCTGCTGGGTACACGTGCTGCTCTGCTCAGCCCCCTCTTGCCCCACACTGCTTGAACACTCAGACCCCTGCGTGTGGCTCTTAGGACCCTGATAACTCCCAGGAATGGAGGATCCCAGTGCGCAGGCTCTGAGTCTAGTGATCCCCGGCATTCCATATGCCCATAGGCCGGCCTCAGTCATACTCAGGGACTTTCTGTCATCTCAGCTCTGCCAGGCTTCCTGCCATTGAGGAAGAGGTGGTCCACGTGAGCCCACAAGCCTCATTTTTCTCATTTGTGAAGTGAGCGTATCTACTGAACGTTATGTTTCAGACTAGAGGCTGATGAAGCCGTGCTGACTCCAGTTGTCTCCTCGCATAGCTGCTGTGAAGGAAATGGCAAACCCCCACCAAGAGTCTGTCTGCAAATCTGCAACCCCATCCCTTATAGACTCCCCCAAGTGCTACGATTCCAGGAGAATGGCAGGTGCCGTTCTCAGATCCCCGAGGAAGTTCACAGGCCTCAGGTAGCTAGACTCTGGGACATCAGAGGGCTTTGGGAACAGTGGGTACACTTCAGCTAGATGTGCCCCTCCTCTCCACTTCTGCCACATCCTTGGAGTTGCATACCTCCTCCCCAAATGCAGGTCCACACCGTGGACCACTCATCAATTACATGACAGAAAACCTCCCCCTTCTTCTGAGACCTATGAGAAGGGACCCCCACTCTCTGCCTTGTGGTCCTGAACACTCCTCAGAGCTTTTATCATGCTGCTGTCTGTCTGTCTGTCCATGGTGCTAATAATTCTTCTAATAAACCTCTTACCAACACAGCAATCCACCTTAGTATCACCATTGAATGTCAAACCCAAGACCTTTCACTGAGATGATCATTATAATAGAATCCACTGAGTGGTCGTTTTGTAACAGCCACAAGCCCACTGATTTGTGTGGCTGTGGTGGCTCATGCAGAGGAGTGGAGCCAAAGAGCAACCTCAGCTGTTGTTCCTCAGGGGCTTGCCTTTTAAGATAGAGTCTCTCATTGGCCTGGAATACCCCAGTAGGCTAATATGGCTGCCCAATGAGCCCTGAAGTTCTGCCTGTCTGTCCCCTGCAACACTGAGGATAAAAACGCACGCCATGAGTTACCCTCCTCTATGGCTCTGTACACCATCATCATCACCACCACCACCACCACCATCACCACCATCTTAATTCTTTTAAGACACACAGCCTCTTACTGAACCTGGAGTTCACCATTTCAGCTAGGCTGGCGAGCCAGCAAGTTCTAGGACCTGCCTGTCTCCACCCCAACACTGGGCTTACAGGCACTTGCCACCACATCCAGATTATATGTGGGTACTGGGGAATCCAAGCTCAGTACTCAAGTTTGTTCAGTAAGCACTTTGCCCATTGAGTTATCTCACTGGCTCCGCAGCTTTTTTTGCCGGGGGTGGGGTGGGGGGTGGGGGTGGCGGGGTTGAGGGAGGGTCCGGTTAGGTAATGCTGGCTGGCCTTGAATTCTGAGGTCTGCCGCCTCTGCCTACCAAAGGTGTGTGCCACCCCTTTTTTGTTGAACATGGTCCGGTTCGGGTCCTTATGCTCGAAGGTGAACAACACTTTCCTGCCTGAGCCGTCTCACCAGACGCTGAGTCAGGATGGAGCAGGAAGTCTGTGGGAGAGTTTGGAAGCATGCTCTTGGAAGTTATTGTTACTGTGGGTCTCCATTTACCTGGCAGAAGAGGCTTCATTACAGGCGGGAGGACATATGTGGT